CGATAAATTTCATTAAGTTTAAAGTACATAGTTAAAAGTTGGAACATCAAAATAAAAATTGACAATACTTTTTGTTGGGATTTGTTTCCCAAATTCTATATTGATTCTAATCGTTTTATGATTGGTATTATTTTAGGAATGATTGGCTAGTTGATTGTGTTTGAGAATAGATGTGCAGCTGACAAGTTTTTTATGGAAGGTTTCTGAAAGATCTGGAAACTTATTTTAGTTTCTATTTTTGTAAGTCAACTATTGATCCAAATATGGTAAATTAATTTGATTAATATTTGATTGAGATTTCGTAGCTGGATGATCTTCCTCTATCTCTTAAGAATGTGTCCAGATTCATATATCAGTTTCGGGAAGGTTTCAGAATTAAAGTAGATTGATTCGGACTGGTTTTGAGAAAGTCGACCTTGACAGTGATGTTGCAGTTATTGTTGCAAGAAAGATCTGCAACAGATTTGGTTTAGCGAATTAATTGAAGAGGTCGTCAAGCTGTTAACTTTCTGCTTATTTATTCAAAGAGTCTCTCTAGTCATTGTACACCTTTTGATTAGTTTTGCTGGGTTGTGTGAGAGGTGAGCACTTGTATTCAAGAGAGATGATTTTAGTGTTTTTGAGAGAAAAAACTTAGTTGGAGGGATTCCAATGTTTAAGAGTCGAAGGGATCTCGCTGTTCAAGTCCACTGGGAATTACAAGTTCATCGGCATCTTCTTAGAGAGGGAGTCTTAGGTAGATTAAGTCCAATTGAATTGTAAAAGAGTTCTTAGTGGATTGTTCATCATCTGGGCGTGACCCCGCGGAATAGGTTGTTACCGAACCGCGATACCATTTCTCTCGTGTTCTTTTATTTTACGTTTCTGCATTATTCATATTGTCTTATAAAGTGTTAAAAGACTCAAACCGGTACTTACATTTGGTATCAGAGAGGGTCACTGACGTGTATTTCGGTGAGATCATGTTGTACTGGTTGATTTTGCAGGTGTGGATGTCATGAGAGAAGGAGGATTGGTGAACAACCTGCCATTTCTAGAAGGTGTCAATTACCCCTATTGAAAGGTTCGCATGAAAGCTTTCATTAAAACTATTGATGAGAAGACATGGCGATCTATCTTAACCGAATGGACTCATATAATTATTTTATTCTTTCCATTTTTCTTCATTGCAGCTCAGAAGAAACAAAAAAAAAGCAAAAAGGAATAGATATGTAAATAAATATGTGCATCTGTATAAATTAATATGTATATTATTGTTTATAGAATTATAAATGTAAATAAATATGTACATCAGTTGACAACAGCTTATAATCAAAGCTTTTATTATATATCGTATTTTGTAATAACTTTTAAATATCTTTTTCATACATTTTTTTTTCAGAATAATTAACAGCATAATCATTGTTTTGTACATTTTCTCATTTTAAATTACTATTAAGTAAATTATTAAATATCCGTACAACCGCGCGGATATAGTCTTGTTTCTTAAACAGTGTCCGGTTTTTTTTGTCTTTAAACTTTTAAAAAATTTCATGTCTGTTTTACCTTTAATTTCTTATTCCTTCATTGGATTTTGTTTGGGCGTTTTGATTTTGATCATTTACGCCGGGTCACCTTTAGGTATCCTGTCGGGTTACCGGCTAAAAAATGTTTATTTAATATTTAAAATGATGTAGTAAAGCGTGTATGAAGTTTATGGTAAATAAAACGAGAGGGCTGTACTTGTATGAAAATAGAGGCACAAGGTTTATAGTGGTTCACTCTATTAATGAAGAGTTACATCCACTTTTCTTTATATTTCTTTTAGATTCTTTACAATAACTCTCTTTACTCTCGGGTTGAATATGAAATGAGCCAAACTCCAAAGAAAATCCTCTCCTTTTTCGTTTTGGGCTTTGCCCCTTTTATAGCCAAGGGTTCCTTCGTGGGAGGTTTTTCTCGTAGGCAGAAGCACTCGAGTGGCATACCCTCATAGGCTCATATTGTAGCCCACTAATCACCTTTTGAGCTGTACATTCATCAAATTAGTCTTCCATTACGGCTCTGTAGACTCCCTGTAACCCTCCACCGTTCACTGTTGGGCGGTTTAGGGGATTGTAATTAATGCCTGCACTGCAGACATCTCCCAGTGCCAGACGCAAGTTGGTTGTGTAAGACACCTTTCTGGAGATAAGGGCGTCATCTCTCATGCTTCTTCCCTCGACGTCTATGCTGAGCGGGCGGTGGCCTCTTCTGGCCGCCGACCCTTCTGTGGCGTAGGAAATTTGCACAAATCATAGGGTCGACGGCATAACGGGTCGGCGGCCTTTCTTCGCAGCGTAAAGGGGAAGTGAGCTTCAGGCGTCAATGGTTGTCACTTTGTGAGGAGAAGTAGGGCCACGTATGACGCTGTCACTATCTTATGTGTCACATAGATTTTCCCACACAACAATATATATA